ATTGTGTTGTCAGGGGGCGATGTGGGTTGCATGTTCTGTCATGAGGGGGAGGAGCAACTTCATCATATTTTATGTGGGTGTAAAAGGGTATGGTTGGTATGGATGAAGGTTTTGGGGTGGTGGGAGATTCAGAGTGTTTTACCAAATGATTTGTTTAGTTTGGTAGAGTCAGTGGTATTTGGTATAAGTGGAGGAGTTTTGAAGGATTTAGGGGCTCTCATGTTTCTGGTTACGGCTTGGTTTATTTGGTATTGGAGGAATATGTATGTGTTTAGGATAGAGGGGATGTCTGAAGAGCAATTATTTGAGTCTATTCAAGCAAAATCTTTTTTATGGCTCAAAAACAAGGAACCAGGGTGTGTGTTTTCGTATATGGATTGGATGTTAAGGCCAAGGGAGTGTAGGGAGGCTATTGTGCAACATCGCAAGAATCTAAAGAGTGCAAGGAAACTGCAACGGGAAGCAGTCTGGAAGAGAGCTGATCAGGAAGGGTAAAGCTCGATCAAGTGTGTTGGTGGTTTTTGTTACTGTTGGATTTTGAGTGCTGGAAGCTTGACTAAGCTGCAGAGGCATTTGTATGCTGTTTTTATGCTTCTTAGTTCGGTTCTGCTCTGTTTTCATGATGGCTCTATTTGATGCTTTAAAATCTTGTGATATAGTGCATCTTTGATTAGTGTATCTGGGCAGGAGTACCCCTTGTGCTTTATATAATAAGATTTGTTTTTGCTGATCAAAATAAAAAAAAAAAAGTTCTGCAGCAACCATACTAGTCCTAAAATAAACACTTGAATCTAAACAAAAAGCTAATGAGGTTAGTCATGTATTTTTTCCCCCTTTCTTCTTATAGTCAAATTTCATTGTTCTTTGCCATCTTGGTTATAAACTAATAAAACATAGATGCAGGAATTTCATAAAACTCAAAATATAAATAACTATGTTTAGTCCTAATAAAAACAATTCTACACATAGAAATACAATTAGCAGATTAGACAATACAAATAGAGACTGTAAGAAAAGAGGAAAGGCCTCATTATTAAATTTGAAAGAACCAGAGAAATACTCCTACCTAATTACTTTTTTCTCATATATCATGGATTTACATATTCCCTTTCCTTAAAACTTGGAAAATGCTTTGAAACAATGTGTCAATACTTTCCAGCCAGCAAAGACCACAATTCAAGCCAAATTCAACTTTCTATTTCATGCGTTAATGGTAAGCATCATAAAGCTGATGACAGAAACAATCATCTTGAATGGACATGCAGCAGACAGCAGTAGAAATACAATCTTGTCAGGAGGAAAATTTGGAGTAGATAAATACCTCAAAAAGGGATCCCGACCAACAATGGAAATTTGTAAGGGATTTTGTTTTATATTTATCTTCACTGATTTATTTATTTTTAATTTTGTAGACGACCGAATAACTTTTAATAAATTCTTCCCTAATTCTTGAAAGAAAGAGGGTTTCACATTTTTGTTTGTGGTAAAAAAGAAAGGTTCCATTATTTGGTATAAGTTCTACTGATTTATTAATTTCAAATTTAGAAAGATAATGCAATTAAATTAATAGTGAATTTAAACTAAAATTTTAATAAGATAAAATTTGAATTTCAAATAAATGAGCTAATCTAAGAGAGTTTTTATTATATAAGATTCAAATTGTATTTAATTAAGATTCTTGATATTTGTTTATTTTATAACTAGATCAATAATTTTAATTTAAGTTTATCCAGTTTTCAATTATTGGTTAACAATGAAAAGTAAATAAATTGTTACCATTCTACTTTAAACAAAAGATTGAAAATTTCAAATAAGATCACAGTTTGAATAAAATTTAAAAAAGAGAGAGATTAAAATCAACTAATAAATAGAAAAGTTATCTAAACTCTAATAAAAATTTAATTATGTTTTAATTTTCGGGTCTTAATGCATTTTCCCCTTAATGACAACAAAATTTAATAAGATATAAAGTTTTATTGATCTATTAACTTGAATTTAGAAAGAAAATACAATGAACTTGATTACGAATTTAAATTAAAAATTTAACAAGGTGAAGTTGGAATTTTTAATAAATGACCTGATCTAAAAGAATTCTGGTTATATAAGTTTCAAATTAGATTTAAGTAAAATTTTTTCAATTTTGTTTATCTTGAAGATAGAGTGATAGTTTTAATTTGAATT